TACTAATAGATTCCTGTGCTCAGGAATTTTCAGGACACATGGAGTCCCTGGACAACTAAGCCACCTGTATCACTTTGAGGAAGAAAACAGAGCAAAATGAACAAATCCACAGTACAGTGGACCCTCTTCTTACAGAATTAATCTGTATTGGAACGGTGGCTGCAGGTTGAAAAATCTGTAGGTCAAGTCTCCATTGATCTACAATGCATTGAAAACCAATTAATCCCATAACCAGCCGTTTTTGTTCCATTTTTTTTCTGGTCTGTAGGTCGATTCTCCGTCTGCAAGTCAAATTTTGCGGCCAGAGAAGTCTGTAACTCGAAAAGCCTGTAAGTCGAGCTGTCTGTAAATCGAGGGTCCACTGTATTCTCAATAATCCAGGGAATTTATGACACCAGGTGAAAAAAAGCATTCTTCCTTGTACTACATGGAAAAGTTTTGAGGTGGGGAAAGGTTGTTTGGGTTTTTTTCCTTTTCCATTCTCCAAAAAACTCTCCTATACCCCACAATATAGTGATAACACACTCTGGTTGAGGGATAACAGCTTCCCCAAACCTAAGCCCTTTAATGCTTAAGTCTCAGATAATGACAAAAAGTGTTTTCCTTCCCTGCAACCCAGCAAGCCCTGAACAGCAAGAACAGTAAGTTCCAGGCTGGTTAGAGGCAGAAGAGTATTCTTCAAGTTCCCACAATATTCTCTCACCATGATTCCAACACCATAGAATTTGTACCTTCCCACTCTGTTAAGAACTACTGTATCTCCTAAGACTACCTGATATGGATTTTGTTTGAGCATCTGTTTGAAGATTACTTTCTGAGAGCTGCCATTTATAAAATACCATGAAACACAGTTCTCTCACACATTTGGTTGAGCTGGGAAGTACTTGTTATTTCAAATTTGGATTATTTTTTCACCACTGTTTCCCACTTACCAAGAATAACAAGCTTTGTAAGTCTGGCAGAGTAGAACAAGTACTCTAAAGCACGGCTCAGGACTCCTACTGGCACCAAGCTTCCTTCATCTACCACCAATACATTGACAGTAGAAAATTTCCATGGTGATTTTCCATTGCTTTCCCTCCAGCCATAATAACTGTAGATAACCTAAAATCACATCATTAAAAATTAGCATTGGCCCGAAGTTAGACTTGACAAACTAGATTATGGGCTTACTCCTCCTATATTTCACATACCATTTTAATTTCAATTTCTTGCTCAGAACAGACCAATTTGCTATGAGGCCCTGAGTGGTGAAACAGAATCAGCAAGCCTGCTTGTGGTCTCTATCCTAAAGAATAAACACAACCTATTGTTTGCACTAAGTGGGGGGGGGGGAAGCAAAGCCAGTTGCCAGAAATCTTTAACTGCATGCACCAAGAAGTATCGATTTTTTTTTGCAACGTGCAAATAACATTTAATTTGTTTTTCATTTTACAGTACTTTGTTTTCTTTATTTTCCAATGTAACCCAGCGTAATACTACCCTTGAATTGTTATTATTTATTGAATTTGTATCCCGCATCATCTGGCAACAAGGCCACTCTGGGCGGCTATAAACAGTAGAAACAACATTATTAAAACACGATAAAAAATAAATAAGTTAATACTGTACAGTACAAGCCAAAGAGGGCAAATTAAAAGCAGGTGGCAATAAAGGTGGTAAAAGGGTGATGGAGAGGATGATAATAGGGAGGCTGAGATCTTAATGCTCCAGGAAAGCCTGGTGGAAGAGTCGGCAGGGGGCGACCACCGAGAAGGCCCAGTTTAATGTATTCGCAAAGGCTTTTACAGCAGGGATCTAATGGTTGTTGTGGGTTTTTCGGGCTCTTAGACCGTGTTCTGAAGGTTGTTCTTCCTAATGTTTCACCAGTCTCTGTGGCCAGCATCTTCAGAGGAC